CCAAAGGGTCCCCTCTGGAGATTTGGAGAGGTTGTGGGGAGCTGCAGCAGGAAGGGAAACTGGTGAAAATATTCTTCTTCCACTGGATCAAAGAGTCTTCTGTCATTGTACCACTGGGTACAATACGATAACTTCAGTATTGATGGGAATGTGACCTTTTTTTAAAGAAATGACTTTAAATCTCAGTGTCTGAAATAACTTCTTTGTTCTATCCCCTGAGTGAAGACTTACCTGAGGCCACTGTAATTCCCATACTTTTTTGGGGAGCGGGAAGGGGATCATTTCCAAACATCCTATAAAATACGATGGTCAACAGCTTACTCAGAGCTCCTTTGACTTGAAACTCCTGATTCTTTTGTTTTCCTTTCGCTATGCACTGCATTTTCATAGATACCACCTGGTGTCTTGGCCTACTCCATGCTTCCTTTCCATTATTTCCTCCATTCTATCAAGCTTACTAGCTGATATTGTACACCCTACATGTATGTGCTATATTAAAACTGCTTCTGTTTTATATAGTTTCTTTCTAATTTAAAGAAACAAAAAAGATTAGCCAAATCCTCTGAGAAAGGCTTTTTGCACCTCAAAAGCTTCAAAGGTTTGGTAAGTCCTACATGGCTACCATGGATTTCAGTTCTGAAATTTCAAGAGTCATGAAGAACTAACATAGTGTAATGGACAGAGTATTGGCCTTGGTCTGGAAACCTTGGGAATTTAGATTGGTTTTGGATCTAATCTCTGCTCAGTTATGACTCTCACCATTAGAGCCAGTTAGTCTCTCTCAACTTAATCTACCGCACATGGTGGTTCAGAGGATAACATGGGAAATCTCCAATTCATACAACAACATGTTCAGTGAAGGAAAACTGGGATACCAATGTGGTAAATGACTCAAACACCTATCAACCTTCACGGTTTTCAACATGAAGAAACAGATGATTCTTATATGTTAGGCAAGCATAGTTACTTCCTGCAATCAAAATCTGAATTTTCTTGAGCTCCTATGTCAAAAATGCAC